TTTTAAATTTTATTTTTTTAATTTTAAAAAATTTTTATTATTTTTAAATTTTATTGAGGATTGAGGAGAAATAATACTCTTCTGAAAATTACCGCTAACCGCATAAATAATAGGGATATGGTTACTACTGGTAGAGTTTAATCGTTTAACCTAAAGACCATTAAATCCTGGGACATTGATAGAGCACAATAATAGTGTGAGTAAAAATATTTTTTTAAAAAAATTAAAAAAAAAAAAAAAACATTTATTTTTATTTTTTTTTAAATTTTTTTAAATTTTTTTTAATTTTTTTTTTTAAAATTTTTTTTTTCTAATACAATATTATATTATTACTTAGTATGTATTCTAAATAAAATTTATTTATTTATAAATTACTTTAAATTTAATAAAAAAACAACAAAAAAAAAAAAAGTATATTAAAATTTATTTATATACCTTAAATATTTATTATGTGAAATAATATTTATTTATAGTTATTTAAATTTTATAATCGGAATATTAATAAATACCTATTTAATTTCATTCATCTTTTGTTTTTTATTGCATAAAAATAATTGTTTCGTTTTTTATTTTTTATTTATTTATTGTATCATTTTCCTTTTTTTTTTTTTTTTCTCTTTCTTTTTATAATATCTAAAATATGAATATTTCTAACCAATCTCTCTTTTTTTTTTTTTTAATTTAACAGAACATTTTAGAAAAATTATAATTCAATTTTTTTTTTTTTTTAATTGATTTAAATAATATTGTTTAATATATAATATATAAAATGGGTTTATTTAGTGGTAGAAAACATGGTGGTTTATTCACTTTCAACAGAGATGATGGTTATTTAGAAGCCATCTTAAGAGGTTCAAGAAGGGTATTCTTTCAAGACAAGATTATAACAATTTATGCCAATGCGATACATTAGAAGGTATGTTTTAGAAATATTTTAATACAGTTTTATCATTATATAGAGTTTTTTCTTTTTCCAGATATTTTTATAAAAAATAATAATTAAAATTTTTATCATTATATATTAATAAAATATTTTTATATTAATTATAATAATAATATTATTTAATAGATATGAAAATGCACTTCTTATCAACTGATTATGGAGATTTCTTAGCAGGTGAACCATCACCAATTCATACAACCACTATTGCTGAAAAAGCAACTCAAAAATTAGTTAACGAATTCAATCATATTAGAAATCAAGCTGTAGAACCACTTTCAACTTTTATGGATTTCATTTCATATGGTTATATGATTGATAATGTTGTTTTACTTATTACTGGTACCCTTCATGAAAGAGATATCTCTGAATTAGTCGATAAATGTCATCCACTTGGTTTATTCAAATCAATGGCCACTCTTTCCGTTGTTCACAATGTTGCTGATCTTTATAACAATGTTTTAATTGATACTCCATTAGGTAGGTGATTCATATTAATTGCTTTATTTTTTATTTTAATTTTACTAATTTTTTTCTTTAATAATAGCTCCATACATTCAAAATTGTTTATCAGAAGAAGATTTAGATGAAATGAATATTGAAATTATTAGAAATACCTTATATAAAGCTTATTTAGAAGATTTTTACAATTACTGCAAATTCCTTGGTGGTCAAACCGAATTAATTATGAACGATATTTTACAATTCGAAGCTGATCGTCGTTCAATTAACATTACTATTAACAGTTTTGGTGCCACCGAACTTACTAAAGATGACCGTGAAAAACTTTACCCACAACTTGGTCTTCTTTTCCCAGAAGGAACATCAAAACTTAGCAAAGCTGAAGACGTTGATCAAGTCAGAGGTATTCTTGAAGTCTACTCAACTTATCGTAGTTTCTTTGCCGATGGTGTCAACAATGAAAAATCACTCGAAGATTCATTCTTTGAACACGAAGTCCACTTAAATCGTATGGCCTTTGAAGATCAATATGGTTACGGTGTTTTCTATGCATACATTAAATTAAGAGAACAAGAAATTAGAAATATAGTTTGGATTGCCGAATGTATTAGTCAAAATATGAAACAAAAAATGAATCAATATATTCCAATCTTTTAATCAATCTTTTTTTTTAATTTAAAGTAATAATAATAATCATAATAAAAAAAAAATTTAAAAAAAAAAATAAAAAAATAATAAAATTTTATTAAATATATAATATAAAACTAAAAAATATCATTTTTATTAATCTTTTTTTAAAAAAATAAAAAAAAAATTTCTTTTTGTGATTTATACTAACATTAAAAACTAAAATATTTATAAAAAAATATATATAATTTTAAATAGTATTTTATTAATATGTTTTTTAATATTACATTTTTCTTTATATAATACACACGTTATTATTATTATTGTTGTTGTTTTTTTGTTGGTGTTGTTGGTGGTTGTTGATTGATTGAGGAATATAAATATATACTATTCTTTAAATCATCTAATCTTTGAGTTGTTCTTGCCAATGCATGAATGGTTGCGACTACTGATTTCATATTTCTCATTTCGTAGAGATCCAATGAATGAAATAAATCTCTTTTGTCCACGCCAACACTTTCACAAACTCTTAAAAATTGTGCAATATTTTCCATTTGATAGAATGGGGTCGGTGCTAAATTAATTTTTTTAATTGAATTAGGTCTTAATTGATTTATAACCCTATTTTTAAAAATTAATTGTGTTAATAAATATAAAATTTTTTAAAATTTTTTTTTTTTAATACTTACTGACACAAAATGACGCCAGATCTTAAATGATGTGATAATGGTGATGAGTTTGGTAAATGTGAAGCTACTTCGCACAATTGAATACCCAATATATTTTGTATCCATGCTTTAATTTCATCTTCACATTTTTCTTGATCCAATTCTGTTAGTTTATAATAATAGTTTGTGGTTTTATTTGGTGATGCGACTACAATATTATTGTTATTGGTATTACTTGGAGATAATAATGGTGAGTTATTTTTATTTTGAACTTTTTGTATTGGTTTGTTTATTGGTTTGGTTGATGGTGTTGATTGGATATCTGTATTTGATGAGGAGTTATTGTTATTTGTTGTTGGTAATGATGACAGTGATGGAGAGCGTTCTGCTGAGTTTGCCCTTCCTCTAAGTGGTGAGTCGGGGGGTGATAAATTTGGCGATGATGCTTGTTTTATATTCTTTCTACGTGAGTTTGGGGAGCTTGGGGCAGATTTACTAGAATTTGATATAGTATCATTATTATTACTTGTTATACTTTCATTGTTGCTTATATCTGTGACCTTTACAATGGTTTCTGGATTGTTTATGGTGATTCCATTATTATTATTGATTTTAATATCATTACTATTATCCTCATTATATTTGGTTTTATTTTCATTATTTTTAATTTGATTAAAAAATGGATTTTGGATGATATTAACTAAATCATTCTTTAATTGTAATATGTTTGTAAAGGTATTGTTGTATAAGTATAAATCTTTATTTCTAGTTTTACCACTTAACTATAAGAAAAAAAAAATTTAAAGGTTGGTTATTAATTGCAGTTTTTTTTTTTATTTGTAAATTTAACATACTATTGGTGAGGCAGGAGAACCATTTGAATTATTATTAGTTGATGGTATTTTTGATTTAAGTTCTTTTACTAAATAATATAGGTCAAAAACTTCGTCATCAATGAGTGATCTCCATTCGGCAAAATCGTTAATGGTTAATGGTTGAATTTTACTTAAATCTCTAATACTTCCTACTGTTACATTTGTACTACCACTGTTTTTTTTATTACTATTATTATTATTATTGTTGTTATTATTATTATTATTTTCTTTTGATTTTACTATACAGTTTTGACATTTTAGTTCATTCTCTTTAATTTGTTTATTTATATTGTTTTTTTTATTATCGAATGCTT